GCGGAGCGTCTGCGCTGTGGTTAATAAGTAACACAGAGAGCTCTGCTGGCTGCTGCTGGGTTACCGAAGCCAGAGAGCTCCGGGCTGGGTTCCTCTGCCAGGGGGAGGGGAAGGGTCCGTCAGCAAGGCTGCGCTGCCAGTGTGACCCCCCCGCTCAAATTCTGCACGGCAAGCGTGACCCCACGGCCCACGCAACCCACCCTGGCCGCCTGGAAAGCAGCTTTTTCACAGCAGCAGAGGGGAAGGGAGGAAAAGACGGTGGGCCTCGTGGCACACCTCGCTCCAGCCCTGCCTGCAGGTCCTGCTCACGCCGCGGCTGTCCCCTTTACCTCCTCCTAGGTGACAAGTCACCCTGTAAAAGGGAAGATGTTAGTTTGAGCAGACGGGGTTGTTTAATCTCCAGAAAGCCCAAAGCTCTCCCAATTTCCCATGCTGGTTCCCTTCCCTCGGTTGCACAATGCATATGTTTGATTTCCTGCTGGCAAAAAACAAACAAACAAAAAAAAAATATCCCAATGCCTTGGCAGTTGAGAGCCAGCAAAAGAAAACAAAATAATTAAATTTCCCTACTGAGAGGAGTGCGTTTTAAAGGAGTAAGTGCACATGAAAGCATGAACATGCCACACTGACAAAAACGGCAGGCTGGCCAACGTGCTGGGGTGTAGAAGGAGGGAAGGGGAAAGCAGCGGGGTGGAGGGCACAGAGGGTTCGCCACCACAAGACACAGCTGGAGGAGCTGGGTTTCATGTGGTCCATTGGCCAAACCTCAGCCTAGCCATGCCTCGGAGAGGAGCTGGGCCTGGAAAAAGCCCCCCGGGCCCATCCTCCCATGGAGCTGCCACGAAGAAAAGGGTTTGGAGAACAATTAAATCCACACCCCTCCCAAGCAGACTAGTTTCTTGCTCTGCCCTGGGGGGAAGCAGGCTCGGCACCCAGCCCCCTCTGCTCCGGCCAAGCAACAGCTCCTGCTTTACGCAGCCCTTCCCCTCTTCAGCACCGACACACAAACAGGAGTTTCCCCAAAACCCGGTGCAGCCTCTACCCCGTTCCCATCAGAGTCCCCCAGGGCAGATGCTGGGGTGCCCCCCTGCCAGCGGCCCCGTGCAGAGCCAGCCTCCGTCCCCACGTTATCCAGTTGCTAAGCTACCCGCGCCTGGCTTATCACGCCATCGGCGCAGAAGGGCAACGGCTGAAGGTTTATTGCGCTGAGCCGTGTTTACTCACTACCTTCCTTCCAAACCCAGAGCTCAGGAAGGGACGGGGTTGACATTAGCAGGGAGGGGGTGGCGGAGCCCGGGGCTGGCAGGGGGCCATCCAAAACGCCGCACAAAAGGCTGGGCACGGGTGGTTTGCACGCTAGCAGTGAGGATGGAGGATGCGTGGGCAAGGAAGGCGTTCCCTAAACATCCCCCAAACACGCAGGTGCGATGCTGAGGGGACGGGAACCATCCCACACGCAGCCACCCCTGAGCTAAGGGGTTCAGCACACACCTTGGAACTCTCCATTTCATGAAGTGCTCTACAGCTGACAGCTTTCCCTAAGCATACGGGTCACAGCTACGCAGACAGGTAGGCACCCACACAGCCCGATGGCTCAGCAGACCCAGTAACACAGCAATAAGGCATAATCTTTCCAATCTTCCTCAAAACATGCAAAACCAACAAACCCACAGAAAAAAAAAAAATCAGCTCCATGGTCACCTCTGGTTTTGGACAGCCTGTGAGTAGGTAAACTATAGCCAAGGACGATTTGCCTTAATTGCTCAGCTGTTGAAGATGCTACTTCTGAGCATGGAAGCCTCATCCCTGGAGGTGTTCAAGGCCAGGCTAGATGAGGCTTTGAGCAACCTGGTCTAGTGGGAGATGTCCCTGCCCGTGGCAGGGGGGTTGGAACTTGATGATCTTCAAGGTCCCTTCCAACCTAAACCATTCTGTGATTCTATGCCCAAGCAAAGCATCTCAGGGGGCTGCTGACCACACACCCACAGGAATTCACTGGGACTCGTATCTAACTTGCCATGCTTTGCATACAAAGGAAACTGCAAAGAGATGTTGGGTCTTTGTCATTGAGAAACAACAATCCTCACCAACTTAAAAGATCAGATCACCTACTAGGAAAGAATTTTAATTGCCAGAACATAATCTTTCAGATAGAGCAATAACCATCCACACTCATTCTTGCCTTCCCCACGGAGCCAGAAGATCGCTGGCTCACATAGCCCCCAGAACTCCATTTTAGTTACATCTTCACCCATTTTCACTCCCTAAAGCCAAGAAGAACTGCTATTACTCCCCCTTCCATTTAAAAAACAAACAACAGCAGCTCTGCCCAAAAGGGGAAGACAATGCTAAATCACGATCCCTCCCCTCTGCCCTTTGTTACTCAGACAGAAACAGCCTCTTAGTCTCCATCGTAACATAAGGGAGACCAAAAAGGAAAAGGAGCTGAACTCCAATTTAGTGTGACTCATCTCTGATTCACACCACTTCTTTCTCCTCTAAAGCAGGCTTCCAGCGCAGATGACCTGCAAATAAAGCCCTCCTGCTTCAGGAAGGTACTTTGCAAACCTCAAAAGGAAGCAATTCTCAGTTCTAGAAGCCATCACAGAGTTTCAGGGTCGGTTTTTTATTCCCCAGAAAATTATATGTAATATATTTGGGAGCTTAACCTCACACAGCCAGCATTTCTTACTACCTCAGGTTATAACAAATAACTGATAAAGAGGTAGGTGTTGCAGGTCAGAGGACAAAAGTGACAAGTTGGACTTCACTTGACCTTGGTACAGGACAGGGAGCCAAGGATAGCATCACCGTCCCTTATCATCAGCACCCCCCAATTCAGGCCTGCACACGCACTCTAACCCTCCCACCCAGTCTGCAGCTGCCCCCATGGACCCGTAACTCCTATGGGATTCCTCACTGCCTTGAGGAACTGCTTCATCCTACCTCTGCCACGCTGATCTGCTCCTCTTCCCTTTCCTTTCTGCGGCGTCAGGCAGGAAAAGCCCACAGGCTGAGCGCGGAGGAGAGAGAGCAGCTGCTGCCAAACCTGAGAGCCGTGGGGTGGAACGAGGTGGAAGGCAGAGACGCCATCTTCAAAGAGTTCCACTTCAAGGACTTCAACCGGGTACGAGCATCAGCGGTACAGAGTTTTACAACACGGGAGACCTGGTTTGCAGAGCAGGGAGTCCCATCTGCAAGGCTCAGCCAAAGAAACCCCTCCATGTTTCTCCTGAAATGTAATGGCTGAGCAAGATGATCTGCCCAAGACACCAAAGTGCTCAACCGAGCACATGGTTTGTCTGGGAAAAGCTCCCCCAGAAGAGGAAAACCCATAGAAAATCCCAACAGATACAGAACATCCCAGGCCTTGTATTTAGTTGGGTCACCTAGAAACCTGTGTAAAATAATAGCCATGGTGTGAAAAACAATATATCGCAGGGTGAGTGGTTCAGAGCTAACTTTTCATCTTACTCCACTGGGCAGGCCTTTGGCTTCATGACCAGAGTGGCTCTCCAGGCAGAAAAACTGGATCACCACCCCGAATGGTTCAACGTGTACAATAAGGTAAGAAAGAGGGATGGGTAGGGGCAACCAGAACCCTTTGGGGAACGCATCCCTTCCATGAGGCATAAAACAGCAGTGGCAAGAGCTGTTCAGATCAGTGGGACCTCTTTCCTCAGATGCTCCTCCATCGGCGTATCACAGCCAGCCTACAGCTATCACCTACAAATCCTTTCCTCTCCCTTTTTTTAACCTGTCCAGCTGAGCAGTAGCTGCCCGTAGGCTGGCACCAGGGTTGCTTTTATAAATCAGTATCAGAGATAGCAGCAAGGGGAAGAGCTTCTGGAGAAAGAGCTGAAAAGCAGACACAGCTGGCTGCTGTGACCAAGGCAGCAGTGGTGGCGACAGCTCACAGCCAGGACAAGCTGGGAAGGGGAAAACCGGGCAAAATGCCAGACCGCCCTTCCCACCCCAAGAAATTTTGCAAACAAGTCCAGAGAAAGTAATAGTGCTACCTGCCTCATCAGATGCAAACCATCAGCGGCACTGGGGGGAACTGTTCCTGCTCTTTCTGCCAGCAACACTTGGTCAGTCTGTCTGTCTGGTTTAGGTTCACATCACCTTGAGCACCCACGAGTGCGGAGGCTTATCGGAGCGCGACATCAACTTGGCCAGCTTCATCGAGCAGGTTGCAGCTTCTCTCTCCTGACTAGAGAGACACACATGAAGCCACAAATCAGCTCTGCCGCTGCCACAACCCGCATCTCACCTGCACAGCCGAACCTAGAGCCTTCTCCCACATCCAAGCTAGTTCCTGGATCCAGACTGCCTAACGCCATGCCAACCCCCCTCTGCTGCAGCTCAGATGGATGGAGGCGCATCTTGGGCACCGTGCGTATATCCAGCTCTGATCTTGCCACTTCCATTCTTAAACCCTTCGTTAGCTGCACACTACCCAGCCCGCAAACTGCTGAGCCTCTGGGGCTTTTGGCAGAGGTGCCCTTTTACCAGAAGTCCTGTTACACACAATTGCACCAGTAAATCTTTCCAGAGCCTGACCCCATCCAGCCACTGTATTATTGCTTCTTACCTACTGGAATATGTTTTCTACCTAAAAGGTGGTGTACGTGACCCCTTTGGTTTTTCCATACCGTATCAGCAACTGTGATGTGCAATTGGGTTATTTCTGTACCCTCTTTCCAGCAGTATTATAAGCAGACGTGATCTCACCCCTGTTGTAACCGACCTTTAGTAGGATACCAACTGAAAATGTTTACAATAAAGGTCTTCGTTAACCTGATGTCAGTTTGGAAGGAGGCCTCACTGTCAAAATTACACCAACAGTTTTTTTTCCCCCCCAAGGCAGGTACTGGTCTGACTGCTCTCAAGAAGGTGCTTCTGCCATGGAAAAGCTTCTTGACTAAGCAATGCGGCGAAATGGCCCGTGCCTTCACAGGCCTGCACCTCAAAGCAAACGGGGTCTGAAAGAGAATGAGATTATCAAAGCCAGAGCAGATCAGATAAAAACCAGCTTGTGTTAAAGTCATAGCCAAGGCACAAACACAGGGAAGGCACAATCAAAAGGCACGAACACAGCGCAGCAACGGGCCAGGGGCTGCATACGGTGTAATACCTCCCAAAAGAGGTTGTAGGTGGCTTTGGTGGTGTAAGATCTTCACTCCAGTAATACCGGGATCTCTGCCTTCAGTGAGACTGCAGCCAAATTGCTGCATTTTCACTATAACGGGAACAATTTGCTATGAAACCAACAATAGCTGCTTTCAGCAAAACAGTCTGGGAGAAACACTATAAACATCCAATTCAGGTCTTTTTTGTTTGGTTGGTTTTTAACCCTTTAAAGTTCTATAAAGTATTAAAAGAAAATCCATAGCTCTTAAATGACAATTTTCAGCATCCTTCAACATCACACGCAAGATGTAGCTATGGACACCACCTTTATCTCGACAGGATGAAAGAACAGTCCTTGGGCAGAGTTAGTAAGACTCATAAACCATTCTTCCTGCCACAGACCAGGCTGTGCATGAGCAAAGCCCAGGAGTGAAAGGTCCCCATTCATTCAAAGGAGCATTGAAACAGAAAAATAAAGAGTTCAATGAGCGTAGATAGCTAAATGCACCATTTTAATACAAACTAGGCCCATTTGCACCATCTCTTCAGCTATTTCAGCCTACAGCTTTACAGTGGCAAATTACAGCAATGCAGAATACCGCCATCAGATGAGCCCGTCCCATTTGTTCATGAAAAAGTCAATGTGTATTTATTGGGCAAGATATTATTGTGTCGTATGCAACCCTTCCACTCCCCCTCCCCCAAGTCATCAGAAAAGTGCAGATGAAATCCATGGCATGAAGACACACAACTCTTCTTGGTCCATCCCATTGGATATTCTTCAGTCTAGTACCTAAGAGCACGCAAATCCCTTGGGAGTGCTTTGTACAAGCAACAAATATAGTGTCTCGCTTGGAAAACCTGGTAGTAGGAAATCTCACAGGAATTAATAGTTGAAGATCCCTCCAGGTCTAAAGTACCATCCAGTTTCAGATCATAATCCAGTCCATAGTATTCTTCCTTTTTGTGTTTTAAATAATTATACAGCCTGTTAATCGCACTGTTTTCCTAATACCATTTGGCATGATAAAGGCAATGCAGATTACATGTTAGATGACAAGGATGAATAAAGACTAAACACCGGTAAATTACAGTGGCCTATTCCTGACCAGAAGATTACATTTACAGTATAGAACAAATACACATAAAATAATTAAACCCACAAACATTACTAGTAAGTGAAGCCCAGAATGGAGTACATTGACTTACAAATAACATCTTCAAATACATCCAAAAAACGTGAAATGGAGCACTGATCTGTTAGATCCATCTACTTCCTCGGAGGAGAATGCAACCAGGCAAGACGGAGTTTTTCTCTCCTTAACCCCAACCCAATCCATCCCCTCTTTCTTTTAAAGCAGAAACAAAAAGAGTACCTCCCTTTTTTGTTTTGTTTTTTTTCTTTTAAATCTCAGTTCAAAAGAGAACCATCACAGTAGCCAGACACTTAAGACTGTCTCCAAGTATAGCAAACTCAGAGATGCAGTAATGGTCACATTGGCAAGATGTTAACAGAATAAATAGGTCCAACACAAATGCTGACTGCCAGAGCTGGTAACACCATCAAGAGACTATCAGGCAATTCAAATGCGATGTTTTCAAAAGGGCTCAGAGACAGCGCATGAAGTTACCGATTTAAGGGCAGATGGCCAAAGCACTTTTGTCTCCTAGCACTGAGAATAAACCTGTTAAAAAGCAAGTATTCTTCCCACAATCACTGGGCCCCAAGGCTGCTGCACTGGTTTGTGCAGTGGCTGGCAAGTAACCTTCTCCTTCCGAATAATTATTGTGCAAGTGTGTGCTTCAAGCTGTGTTAAGCCAGTGAGGGTCAGCTTCCGGCTAAGAAGCCCACTGCAGCAGAGAAACAGATGCCTTCAGATGGCCTGCACAAAGACTCTGCAGATGTGGCATGAAGTCTTCACCCAAGTGTTGAATCCGCCTAGGAAACTCTCAGTAGCATGCAAAAAATGCTGAGAGGAAACACACAGGAAAACCCTGCAGGAGTGACTCCACCGCTGTTCGATAACTCAAGAGATTCTAGCTTGTCCTTGAGGCCACAACTGCCTCACAAGCTGCGCTGGGAAAACTCTCTCACTGTAAAAACAGCAGAGAAAAATAAGAAGGGTGAGCCACATGCCTAAGGCTTGAATACCTCCAACTTGCTGCATCCTATCATCTACCTCGGAGCTACACCAGCACCTTTGTACTACTGTGAAGGGACCTGGCTCAATGTACCGATTATTCTACCTTATAGGCAAGCGTACTTTCTCTGAGGCCATTCTGCCTTTGAGGTTTTTTTCTTCAGTATAGTACCATAAGGAAACGACCACAGCAAATGCTGCAGTCAACAGCTGAACCCTTAAACCCTCCCTGGCATCCCGCAAAAAAAAAAAGCCAGAGAAGCATCAAGGCACAATGGTGAATGCCCTTTTAAGAATGTGCCTTAAAAGAATCAGTGCAAAGAGCTGAGATTACTACCATTACAAAAGTTGCCTTTTTATACTAAAAGATCATGGTAAAAAAAGGTCAGCTTTGGCGCCATCCGTTTGCACACGAAGTCCCTAGCCGCGACACACGCCAGGGCCTGACTGACTCTACTGCAGCGTTGTGAGATAGTGCAAAACCTTCAAGTTATGAGTAGTGAAATCACTGTTTTGCACATCCCTCCAGAATTGTGCAAGGTACAACACGCACTCTAGGCAGTAAATGCATGTCTTCTCTAGAAGAGGCAGGGAAGCAAACCAGTTACTATGTACCTAGGATTTTCAGTACCATCCAGTTTCCTCTCCCTACACCACCTGCTTGGTTTCTATTTCTGCTGTTATTCAAACGAAGAGATTCCAGAAACTGATTTAGTCTTGGGTTTTCTTCCCCTCAGCAGACATTGATTGCAGTCACACCGAGATCTCCAGAGGGGATTTCAAAAAGAGTACACGACCATCTTTCCTTTGCCAATTTATCGGCTCTGCATTGCACAGATATAAGGCTCCCAGCACAGTCTGTTAAATGCAGTAGCTTGGAGGAATACTCAAAAGAAAACAAAATATTCCATTTATTTTCTACCTTCAGCTTCTGGGAAGATTGAAGCTTTGGAACACAACATGAGAACTCAAATCTAACACTTGGCTGGACACCGGCTCAATACCGGGTGCGAGGAGAAGAAACAGCAAGGAATGAAGTGACACGCAGAATACCTGAGGAATTTGGAGTTGTGGAATGGACATTCAATTCACCATCAATAGTCACGATGAAAATAGGTAGGGGGAAGGGAAGAAAAGCCCTAAAATAAAGTTGGGCGTGAAAATAATGCAGATTTCAGAACAGACTAAGACGGGGAAGGAAGTTTTCAAGATCAAGCTGCCATCAGACCTTCAATTGTAGGAACAAAGGATTACTGCAATCTCTTCCCCTAAGAAACTTTTCAAACCACCCCAGTGCTAGTTGGCAAGGCACCGATTGTTGCGCTACAGTCAGTGGTGGCCAGGAGAGCCGTTCATGTGCTTTTCACTGCAAGGAACATCCGTGCTGTAGAGGCCGTCCAAGTACGCCTGAGAAATCTCCGCTACCAAGCTCCTGTCTGGGACGGACTGGGCCATTCCATAGATAGCTCCCTAAGCAGAGAAGAGGAGGATACATAGGATTGTTAATGCCATCAGAGAAACACACTCACCCCAAACACACCCTTCACTATATGGTGGCCTCCTTACCATGCCTGTGGTCTTGGCGCTGAGGTCCTTCATGATATCCTCAATGCTGTCTTTGACATCTTTCAGGAACTGTTCAGCAACACCAGGCTTTGTGTGCAACTGCGTAATGCAGAGATGAATGCTGGGCAGGCAGGGGAGAGGGGAGAGATTAACCATCTCAACCATCTACAGCTCCACATTTTCTGAGCAGCCGACAGCAATTTAGTCCTTCACTGGCCAACTTCACTTCACAACCGTGTATCTCCTTAAAATAGGATTTCAGCAGTATAATGGGAGAAGACGATCCACTTCCAATTAAAGTAATCCCTGCAAAATACTTGCTAGAACCAAGCTGCGCAGAGTTCAGCTCTTCTTTTGCAAAATGGCAAAAACT